TCTAGATATGTTAATGCAAATCGAACCGCAAAAAGACTGACGTTAAAAATTCATGTATAATTATCAAAATTGTATATTGTAAAGTAGTGACACAGAGATGATGGATGCAATAAAAAATTACTTCTTACCTTGTAAGAAGAATATTGCATGATACAGACAGGAACACTTATTCGGTGACATAATTTTTATGTACAAGACATCGTAATTAAAAAAATTTTTCTTTAGTAATAGAGGTACTTTTGGAAATAATTTTCTATTAAATTCTTAGTAAAACTTTTCTCGATAATTTTGTAGGAATTCTTTTGTATCGTTAAAGATAAGTAATACGTCTATTATATTTGTCGTTTGGTCTTTCCAATTATTATCACTATATGGAAAATAATTTCGATCGGGACACGATTATATTCTAATTATATATAGAAAAGTTTCCAATTAATTAACGAATTTTATCGTCATGTGGCCGTTCTGTCTCAGCGGTCACAAAAATTCTCTCGCGCGTCGCGTGCGCACCTGTTCAGCTTCCTAAACTACTCGGAAATTCAAAGACGGTGCGATCTTATCGGGCTGTCTTAAAGTCCTGCGGAATGTTTCCGAAAGAGTACGTGCTAGGACAAGTGTTAGTGAGAAGAAAAGTTCGAGTGATGATCTGAAGGTGATCATTCCAGGTATTCATTTATCTTGAATAAAGAAAAGTGCGTTTACCTCCTAATTCTGTCGCTCATTATCTTTCTTTTGCGACACTTAATCCTTTTACAGGACGGGAAAGTCCACTATAGTGGCACTAAAATAATGTCATATTTTAAAGCAATAAAGCAAGCAGTACAATGAAATAATGAATTATAACGAATCTTGAGTTATAACAGAACTACTCAAGACAAAGCTGCAGAAGTTCAAAGCGCTTTCTAAAAATTAACACGTTTCAATCCTTCTTTTTTCGATTGTAAAGGAATTATACTCGCGCTCGTCAAACACCAAACAAGAACGTAACGCTTTTTCCCTATTTACGCAAATTTCATTTTTTACAAGGATATCGTATCTTTCTTTTGCTGCCTATTTAAATTTCAATAGAAATTCTGGACAGCTGTAACTGATTTCTCATCCTTTACAGGTCAAGCTATTCAAGAATTTTTAGTTCTTTTCGTATTTGTTCCGTCCGATTCAATGAGAAGCTGCCCCTATGTTTTACTTTTTCTGTGCGAAATATCTATGTTCATTAGTTTTATTAATACAACTAAAAGAGTATTTTGCTTTTGCATCCTCCTCTTTACTTTATTGTTTCCTCTTTGTGCATTTGTTTCTGGATAAGACAACAGACTATCGAAGTACCTGAGTTCGAACAGAGGAAAAAGGACGTCGGAAACACTGGGAAAAGGATTATCGGAAAATGGGGTGTTTAAAAAGAACCTAATAAATCTACGGAGCAGTAAAAGCGTTCAGGTCATGTTCCGTGTGTGCGGAAATCGCTGTTTGACTACATATTTCAAAAAAGTAATCGTAAATGGTCTATTTTGAAATGCCAGCGGGGATTTTTTTGATTTACGAGGAGATATTTCTAGACGAGATGTACTTTTTTTATTCTTTTATTTTTATAATTTCTGTAAGACACGATCTTTGAACGGAAAAAGAAATGGTATTTTTCTTTTGTCGGATATTGCATTTTTCTTATGAGGAAATTAATTTCTCAGTTATTTTTTCAAATCAAAGAAAAAATTATTTTAGATTATAAATTGAACATAATTTTAACGTCAACATTAATTATAGATTATTTTTTTAATTAAAAAATCAGTCACAATAGATACTTGGGCGCATTTAACTATAAAATGGCGGTTCTTTATTATTGAAAAATTTTTGTTTATATTTTATTTACCACTAAGAATGATAATAAAAATATATCAAAAATTCTTTGATCATATTTTAATTTTAATAAACTAATTTTTATCCTCTTTTATCCATTACAAGTGTAAAGATTAACGCGTCCTAGAATTATTTTTTAATGTAAAGTTGCGATATCTGGTGTAATTTTGTTATCTTACTAATCAAAAGATTAGTTAACAGCAATAAAATAAAAGGATAGTGTGTGCATTTTTTTTTATTGACGACTTTACAGTAAACACTCGATTTCCGAAGCACACAAATTTGCATTTCCAACGTGCTAAGTTTCTTTTCTTTCGCAACTCACTTGTGCAGTTTATCGATATTACGAAAGAAAAGGTCCACGTCATTCGTGGCGGTACCTAAAATTGGTCCTCCCTTGTACACATATATTATGTATATAAATATATATATATGTACACACATTTTATATATATATATATATATACACACAACTACAATCGCGTGAGAAGAGGAGGAGGAAGAAAACGCCGTGTTCTTTATCGATCTTCACAAACTACGGTGATCATGCGCATGGTAGGCTGTAGGGAAGTGTCGGCACCGGGTACTTCAATTTTGGGCCAGGGGGTGTCTGGGTCCGGATAAAATGAACCTAAGTCGTCGCCCTACGGGATACAGGTGGGTAGAGGGCGCCTGGGAGCAGGGTAAGACGCACGTCGCGTACCGGCACCGGGGAGGGACTTCCGCACGCGGAGAACCGCAAAGCGCGGCCGTGCGCGCGCGCACCTACTCCCGAAAATTCCACAGGGAAGACCGTCTTCGTTCTCCCTCGCCTTCGTCGACGTCGTCGTCGTCGTGGCCGCTGCGACTACCGTCATCGCCGCTGCCGCGGTCGGCGGCCATGTTTGCGCCAGGATGGTAGGCGTTCACGGGCGGTACCGTTTAGTCGCGCGTTCTCCAACTACTTTGGAGAACGCTTCTGCCCCACTCGGCGATGCGCTGCTGCGTTTCTGGTGGGGTACCGTCAACGGTGTTCCGTTGGTGTCGCCTCCACCACCGCCGACGCTCCGCCGCCGCCCTCCCTACCTCGTCCATAGCACCACCGCTCGACCCCACTCGCGCGCATTCTCGCATCTCCTCTGCAAGAGGGGAGGGTCCCCCGACGTCGCGGTGGGGTGAAGTTACGCCGAACGGGAAAGGGCACGCAGGGGTACGGGTATAGGGAAGGGTAGCGACGTGATCGAACTACGCGGCGGCGATACTTCGTCTTCCACTTCCTGCTCTTCGTCTTCGATTCCACTCGTCGAGGAGGGCGGCCGCCGCCTTCATGGCCTGCGATGATGGTGCGCTGCCCGCAAACGTCGTCTCGTCTCGTCTCGTTTTCCTTGTCGTACTTGTCCTGATGCTTGTTTGCCTCGATACTTGGTGTTTTCTTCTTCTCCTTCTTTCGTCTTCTTCCTTTATGGCTCGCAGCTTCGAGAGATGGCCATGTTGAAGCCTAACTCGGTTTATGTATTTAATTATCGAACTTATTCGAGTTCGCTGGAATTTTTACGGGACCAAATGCGCCGAAATACGCGGACAACGTGTATGAATAATTGATGAATATAATCAACTGTCTTGAAATTTGCGGCGTTTGCTCTTATATTTTCCTTTTAGCACTTCAACATTGAATATATCGTATACACGGCAAGGTAGACACATGTTGCTTCTCAGTATCTTCTGTATCTTCGCAGATTCCTCTGTCATTTTTCTTGACGATAGTGATTAAATTGCGCATGTTTTTATACATTTAATCATCAAATCGAGTTTATGGAAATTTTTATCATCAAGATAGGTGGAACAAAAGTATCAAACAAGTACCAAGTATATGAAGTTCTTTCGTTTTCTTTTAAGTACAATAATTTAACGGTAGACACATTCCTTTACACAATTATTATAATGAAATCGAATTACTTCTAAATTGCGTCTCCAACTTTTGCAGAAAATGTATTACTTTAAATACATTGGGCAAAGCAAAATGTAACTTTCTTTGCTTAATTTATTAATTAGTTTCTATTATAAGAAACACTGCAAAAAGATCTAAAATTAATCTAAAAGTATCCTTAATTTGTATTATTAATTAATTTGTAGTCTAGATTAATTTATTTAAACCAATTAATTGAGCTACAGAAAGCTTACAATTATTCGCGATGATTGTATTATAATGTAGGAAAAAATTATCAAAGATGCATCTCTGAGAATGATTGAAACGATACATATATCACTGGAAAAAAATCCTGGTTAAATTTATTAAAATTCTAGTTGAGATAACCGAAATTATGATTAATACAATATTTCTGGTAAACTTTACTAGAATTCTTATTTTCATCGGATAATTATACATCCACAATCAGAATTTTAGTAGATTTAATCAGAAAATTCTAATTTGTCCATTTTCCGCTAGAATTACTGTTTAATTCAACCAGACCATTTTTCTGAGTGATGCAATTATTGGTAAAAAAAAAATAAGAAACTTAACGTCGAGTATAATATTAGAGAAAAGAACGATCACACAAAGAAGTGAGATGATGTATGAGTGGAACGCAAACATATCTTAGAAAGCGAATATACGAATGTCAAACACACCATGGGTTGACTTACATTGGAAAATTTCGTTACGTATTCTATCTACTTACCGTTGAAAACAGCAGCACGAAATTGCTATTTATCGCTACACTTCATAGCGATTATTTATATTAATATAATTTAATTAGCTCCACAAAAATATGCAATTTTAATAGAGAGATAGGTTCATCGGTTTAATTAACTAATGTTGTGCGAAACGTGATGATAAAACGGCGTAAGTGATGGGATTTTAAGGCAAACTTAAAGCCTTAAGCAAAATTGGCCAATCATAATTGATTATTCTCCTTACATTCGATTGTGATTGATTAATCTCTTACGGCTTAGGGCTTAAGCTTAAGTTTACGCTTTACTGTTACGGAATTTTGTCTACGGTAGCCATTAACGTTAACATATTTTCCTTAGACTCTTTAATTAAACGTATACCGCATCGCGCGAGCCCCGATTCAAGACTTTACGTCTTGACGAACGCAAATCGATCGATAATATTACGCAAATACCTGGCAGTGATCTAACGTCATCGTTCTGATTTTCTGTTACAGACAAATGGTTGGGCGTATATTGGTGGAATTGTTTCGCGGAGCGGTCAATAACAAAATAACGTTAATTGTCGAAGAAGTCATGCAACTTGTGCAACTTGTTATCAACGATAATGGTAAGTCGCATTCTTCGAATCATTAATCGAACACTGCCCTTAAAATATATACCTTTTGTTTTTTAAATTGCTTGCAAATTTGCAGCAACATTTGAAATCATTGTAATTTCTACAAAGTTTATAGTCTGTGCAAAAATAGCCGAGAAACATTTCCGCGCTAAACAGCTTTCTTACAAGCTTATATTTCTTTCACATAAATATTTTCTTATATATCCTTGAGAGAAAAATTTTATATATTTCTCATAAAAAATTTGTTTATTGAACACCTGTCTATAATTTTACTGCTTTACTTCATAACATCGTTTTTGCTTCTAACAATGAATATAACCGCACGATATATATATATATGATATCGTACAATGACGCAAATTTCAGCTTTTTTCCTAATATTTTTACACGCTGGCATTTCTTTGTACCGAGAGCAATGCTGTGAATCACAAAAAATGTATTGCTGTATTTTTTTTTGCTTCTTTGTATACGTTTGATGTGGAAGGATTGAAAATGTTCATTTCTGAGACAAATCCTTCGCACCACTCATGCATGTCAAAGCAAAAATGTAATTAATTGTTAAAATGCTTTTTAATCATATTTTGTTGTATACCTTACGCTTTTTTATTTTGCATCCTTATTGTTTGTCTTTTATGTTTAAACTTACACAATTGACGTAATTTATTAAATTTAAGAATTATTACGGTCGCAAAATATAGCATCGTAGACAATAATCTTAAGCTACATAATTTGTCGATTGCAAACGAAAGCATAATATATTTATTCGATAGTTGTGATGCTAGCGGAACTTATTGATTCTATGCTGTTTCAATCGGGGAATGCACAAAAAGTTTTTAAAATTTTTCTCTCGTATATTGGCACGATTGTTAGACACTCTTTCTCGTTATTGTCAAAATTATCCAACGTTACGCTTTCACTTTCTAATCTCTGTGACCAATAGTTTTACAAAAACTACAAACACAGCAACGTTTGAAAGCTTACAATACGTAATTCTCCTTTTTTCTTAAAATAATGCCGTCCACCTTGCTGAAAATTGAATTTTTTAAACAGAGATTTGTTCAAATAATCTTGTTTTAGCACAGAAAACGTTAATATTAGCAGCGCCGACGAACTCCTGACCGAAATTTAATAAAATGTGTAAAGATAGTCAAATGTCTGAAGATTTCTTCCGCTAAATTTCCACATTATGTGTAAGTAATATCGCACATATCACGGAAAATCAACAGTATATTTTCGAAAAGTCAAGACATAGTATAACTATCGAAGTCAAATGTCTGAGTAATGTTTTAAAAATAGGTATACTCAATTATGGGTATCAAAATTCGTCGCATATAATTCTTCCTTAACCGAAATAACGTCTTGTGTTTCGCTACAAAATTGGGCATGTCTCCTTGAATGGCGGAGGGAGGTAGGTCGCTTAAGTAACGTGTTGCCACAGGAAACGTATAAATATTAGCAACCAGCTGTATCGGGGCTGTTTCTTAAGGGGAAGACAGGGCATGAGTCGTTTTCGTTTGGGGTCGAAGGAGAGAGCAAGATATAATGCGGCGAAAAGTAAGCGTTATCGTTAGAGGCAACGACGAAAGATGAGGACGATGTGCCCTCGCTTCCGGCATGGCACGCGCCACAATGCCGGAAGTCGCTCGTGGATTCGAGGATATAGCATTAAGCCGCCGTGATATTTATACGAGAGGGCACAGCCCCCGGGTCTCGGACGTAAACCCACTCTGTTCTTAATTTAAACATCGCCATCTCTGGCTACGAAGAAATCTTACGTGGCGCATGCGGGTACCAGGATTTACAGACGCATCCTTCTGCCACCTCTTGATACTCGAGATGTGTGGCAGTCTGTCGGTGCATTATTTCATATACAGTAGAATCGTACGATAATTTTTTTTTCTTGTTTATTTCTGATTGCAAGCTAAAAACAGTCATTAATGTGTAAGTAGATTATAGCGCTATTAAAAATGCTATTATCTGATTCTCACTTTCTATTGATGTGAAATTTTTAAATTAGGAAAGTAAATTAAACGAATATATTCGACGTTAAAAATGCATATATATAATGAGAATACAAATTAAAATACAAAATCAAAAGTTTTAGTTGAGTATCACGATTTATGAAAAACGGATTTTGAAAGTTCGATAATTATGGATACAAGGAAAAGAAAAATAATTTATATCAGCGGTGCAGTTTTCGAAGTGGAACTTGTCTTGACCAGTTTCCTGACATATCTCGATGAACGTTGACCCGATCAACTTCTCAAAGTCTTTTGTACATTGGCAAATTCTTTACCTGGAGTTACAGTCCATCAGTAAACTAGTATGTTCTTTTCCGATCGATTGTGTTCCCTTCAGGTCTCTTCTTTTCGAAAACTCCCTCGAGCGTATCAAATATATTTAATATTTTATAGCTCTTTGTGTATTTTACAGTGTAGGAAAGTAACTCGTTACTTGTATCGAAGTTGCAGTGTAGTTATTTTTTTCAGTAACTGAATTCCTTTTTTCTATATTTGTAATTATAATTTAACTTAGTTACATTTTTTTTTAATAATTAGTAACTAATTTAAGAGTTACTTTATAATTTAAAGCTCGACGTGCGATGCACTTTTCGATCGATTTTCAGCTTAGTTTCTCGTCTTTTTTCTCATCAACCCGCGCGCAGATTACATGCCGATCGCTGAAAATTGATCGAAAAGTGAATCACATGCCGAGTCTTGTTTTATATCAAATTTATTCGTCAACATACAGTCTAATAAAAAAGTAAAATGTTCAATGAACAGTGATTATTACTTGTAATCGAAATATATCTTTATCTCTGAAATATCATAATTTTTATTCCAAATGTATATATTAATTTATTATAAATAATATAGCTTGTAATCTAATGTTTAGTATAATAAATAAAATTAATTAAAAAATGTTAAAAATGCATAAATTAAATGTATGAGACAGAGAATTATTGTGATTAAAATAGCAATACAAAATATTACAAAAATTAACAGAAGAATAATGATTCGTTACCTTTTTAGATAACTATGACTGTAATGTTGCTTTCGATATTCAGTAACTTATTGTGGTAACTAATTTTTGAGATAAAAAACTAACTGGAACTAAATTACTTTTACACAGCAACTTTTCCAATCCTGATTTTCCGTTCTCACAATCCATCAAGAACGGAATAAGATTATTCATTGATGATAATTATTTCTATCAAATTTGAAAAGACACAAAATAAAAAATGTATCCACATCACAGAAATGATAAAAAAAAAATAGTAAACTGTTTATTTTAACATTTTCATTATGCAAAACGTTTTAGAAGAGTAAAAGTAAATTGCAGTACAAATAAATTGATCATGATCATAGAAAGCGATATTTATATTTGTACAATATGTGTTTAAACTTCATCATAAATCGTGATCAGATAATAAATCATGGCCGATTCTCTATATTGAATATTTTTAATGTAAAATATAAATTAATAATAACGCTAATATGTTTTGATGAAATCTGATATCGTCATCTCTACTCAAAGTTCTTTTTTAATTGAAAATATTTTGAGGATGTATATGTTATATACGAGCTTATTATAGTATTTAGATCTCATTAGAATAAAAAAATTCAAAACATGCGTAATATTAAAATTTATTATGTAAATATTTGTGATCAATGATTATCTTCCGCAATATCCGAAGGAAAACAAAATCAGCTTGAAATCTGTTGAGAGACCACCATCAATCGAGATCCGCGCAATACGAACATAGTACATGTTGTTCATCCAGAAATGGTGAAGCACACGATAGCACGAGGGATGATGCGATTTTATGTGCATCTCGATGTGCGGCTACCCTAAAGGTAGCAGTGTCCTAACCAGCTATTTTTAGGGGCGAACCGCGGAACATCTTGCACCGTGAACACGTGCCACCATTGGTGTTTTTCCGTAGGGGAACATGCGGAAGGGGGACAAAATACGTGCATCAACACCGGTTCAGGGGCACGCGACACGTATGCATTTTGTTGGGCGTTTACATATTTTTGGATATGCCGCCCGACGAAGGGAAGTCGTCGGATCTCCCCTGATTTTTAGTGGGAGCGTTGACCTTTCAGCTATGAAACTAGGGGGGCTAGTATAAAATCTCAGCGTGTTCTCCAGCCCAGCTACGAACGCGCTAAGATGGTCTTGACTATCGCTAGAGATCCTCAAGTAACAAATTGGACACCTTTCGTTTTGTCCGCCATATTTTTCAGGATCTATTCAAAATAAAATGAGATAAATTATGCGTACAATAGAATGAGACATTCATGCATTCTACTTTATGCATTTATTACATTTTATCTTAAGCGTTCTGAAAAATATAGCGAACTAATCAGAAATTGTCTAAACGATGTCCAATTTCTTATTTGAGGATCTCTAGACGATCTTTATACGTAGATATTATTAAAAAAATGACGATCGAAATAAAAAAAAAAGACATTTTTTTCTCTCTTTAACTAAAAACTACACTGGAAACAAATTTACTGAATCTTTATACATATTTCTTTGAATAGTATTGAATAAACATTTACTTATAGTAAATAAATATTGTATTTATTCAATAAAACCATGGTAGTTGAATCAAATTAATGGTTTTTATATGAAATAAATGTATGTTTGTAGTAAATATTTACTCAGAATTATTCATACAAATATTTATTAAAATTTATTTTATTATAGTGTATTTTCAACGAAATTACTTTAATTATAGAATCTATATGTTTATCTTAGTATGTCGTGTCTTTCGAGATATAAGTCTCCATTATTATGGAAATTGATTTTATTTTTGAAAAAATTAATTCAATTATTAGCGATAAATTTATCATAAGTGCTTACTTTTAATAAACTATACGACGGAAACAATAAAAATATATAACGGAAAGCTCAAAAATAATATTTTTGCGAATTGATCAAATTCACAATTGACGCTTTGTGATTCAATAGGTCAATACACGTACATTTATCGTCAAATTATAATAAATAAAAATATATATATATATGTACTTTTTTTTAACTTTGATTACTATTATTTTTTATCTGTCATATGTTTAGTAATTTTATATCTTTCGAATACTACATTGAATGTCGTCGAAATCTCAAAAACAAAATTTTTTAGATAACTGCTTGAAAAGCACATTCATCTCAATGTTTGATATTTTCTACATTGTTACTACTTGCCAACGAGAAATATAGTATGATTATATTTAACTGAAAAGAATTATAAGAAAATGATTTATCGGTATTTTTATCATTAAATTTATTGTCTAATTACGATGAAAACATCTTCTGTCATAATCTCTATATGATTTAATTAATCTCGAATCGTAAGAAAGGTGTTAAGAAATAAGCAATGATTCCGAAAAAAAAATTTCACCCTCAAATATACGTCCAACAAAAATATTTTTCCATATATCTCATGGAGGGGAATACTACTAGCATGGTGATTCTAAATCTTTGACCGCTGCAGGATATTTTTGACACAAGCTAGAACGAGAAAATGTGCACGCTGGACAAGGGAAAGGAAAATAGATTTTCGCTGATGATGATTAATAGCCTGAGTAGAACGTGCAATGGCCGAAAAGTGTACCCTTCGAAAAATCTCATAAAAACTTCAGAGAAAGAAACGAAAAATAAGAAAAGAACGATGAACAAGGACAAAATTTTCTTGAAAAGTGAGAATAGAAAAGGAAGGACAGAATGGAAAAAACGAATTCAAGGTTGTTCAAGGATCTTAAAGATCACGGTTGATGAGTCCGCAAGATGGCACGCACATCACTTTCTATTCCTTCTCTTAGTTTCGTATCCCCAAATACCCTCAATTCTTTCCCCCACCAATTTAATCTTTTGGTCTATGGCCTAAGGCCTATCATGAGGCCCAGTATAAAACTTTTGCACTCCCGCTCCTAGCATCCCCCTCCTTCTAGCTTTTCCGTACCAACGCCGATGTTCTTAACGAATCCTCAGTTGATGACTACATCTCAAGAACGCTTCTTCTGCGAATATTGCCGTGTAAAGTACGAAGTGTGAAGAAGCGATAACATTGTGGTAGCACCGCTATATGGTTTAACCCTAGGTTAAATCTGGGAGAAAAAAGGGATTTAATCTTCGTTCGAACAGTATGTAACAGATGCGACATCCGTTGAGTTTTTTTTAATAAAATTTATACATATAATTATATGTATTAATTCCTGTTGCTCAATTCTAGCTTCAAGAAATTTGAAAACATTTGCGATATCAGATTTTTATCAAAGATGTATTAATTCAAAAGACAAATCAGAAGACACGGACATGTCTCAACGATAAGAGCATAGCGCGAGACCGATCATGTATATATTAACCAGATCGCGATTGCGTAAACAAAAGAAAATCTTTCTGTATAGAAACTTTTGAAAGACTTACGAATTTATAACATTCTTCTAGAAGTTTCTAGAGAAAAATTTTCTTAGGAAATATAATGTTTATTTTTGAAACATATCATTCGACTAAAGAGATTAAGAAAACATAGCGAGTTTATTTACATTTGTTCTGGTTAATTCGATTCCACTTAAAGTCCCGATCTTTTATGAAACTGATTGTACTTTTAGAAATAAAATTGGAAATGAATACATGATCTTCTACGCTCTCAAAAGTCATACTAATGTACATTTTCTGTTCGCAGATGCTTTGGTACGATCAGACCTGGTGGAGCAAATTCCGAATGTGGCGATTATCTGCCACGAAGCACCGCATCTCTTCGGCGATGTTCTCCGCAATCATCTACTGGATATCGTGATGAAATACCTGAAAGATCAGGACAATCAGGCAAGTGAATCATGTCCTTGTTATGTTTGGAATCCATGTTTTGATACCCAAAACAGAAATCAAAATATTTCAGTGGCGATGTAAATATTGAGACTTTTTCTCCATAGGTACGACAAATGGCCCGAATCGCACTGACAATGTTGATGAAACGAGGCCTCTTTGACAACGACACAATCGAGAACGTTATTTGTCCTACAATAGAAAAACTTTCCTACATGTGGCAATTAGGATCCCGCGATATGGCCGACGAACATGACCGAAATGCGAACATCTCCGTAAGTTTCTCGTGCTTCATTCGTCTTCCTATCTTCTCGTATTCTTATTCTCTCGTATAAAGTAAAAGATAATAGAAAATTTCCAATTTTATATATTATTAATAATAGGAGAATTGACATAAAAGAGGCTGTACACAGAATATTCTTAAAATTACATTTTTAGTTAAAGAAGGTTATTCATGAAAGTAGGATAAACGGTGTAATAGTGTAAAAAAATCCTTATGTAGATAAGAATAGATATTCCTTTAAAAAAGGATTTTTTGTATTTTTATTTTTTTATATTTATTCTTATGTGTAACTATAATTACTTAAGACATTTCGATTTTTGGAGATTTGTCTTTTTGTATAGCCTACTTTACGTCGAATTTTCGTTGATGCGCGAAAAAAGTTTCGAAATCTTATGTTCGCGCGACTAGAGATACATACGCAGCGGTCGCGTTTCTTCGCATGCGAAATCGGGAATACAGCTCTCAGTATTTACGGATTCCTCCTGAAAGACATGGGTAGTGAGATGTTCTTACGCAATCGCGTCTCACTATCTTGTCTTTCATGCGGCGTCCGCTCGCCTCGGCAATGTTGCGCAAAAACGAGAATCGCATGATGAAAATTACACGATCTGTCGCGCCAACGAAAAAACACGTCAAATCGAAGCAAGAAATTTATAACGATAAGAAGATAAGGAAAATGAGAGGAAAAATAGGAAAAGGGAAAGAAAAAGGAATGCAAGGAGTTTAGTAATACGTTTGCGAGGTAAAAGCACTTTAAGAGCAAGATTAAAAGAGCAAAGAATATTTAGCCATCGTCGCTTGAAGATTTCCATATACAACGAAAAGAAAAAGGATAAATGGAGGCGAAGGGAGCATAGAACGTTCGTGAAAAATACAAATACTGGCATCCTGACGAAAGAGAGGGCATACTTTTACCATCAAAGTTGGTTTGTCATAGAGTTCGACTATCACAGCCAGCTTTGATGATCAAAATTGTGTCCGTTTTCAACGCGCTCCAGTGATTAAGACCAAAGGCAGAAAAGGAAGAAATCGAATGACAGAACAATAGAGAAGTAAAATACGTGAGGTTTGAGAAAAACGATGAAGAGGCAGAGACGATACATTGGAGGAACGTCGTTACAACACCATGAACAGGGATATACCTTTTGCGGTCCGATACATCAAATTGGTTGTGGAATGTTTCGAGTCATATCACAGCCATTTTGATGAGCTGGCCCGCAGAATTGATCGTCGAGAAGATTTCACTTTTTGCCGTCGGTACCTGTTGAATCGATAACACATGCGACACATCTGGAGATAAACGGAACGAATGACTGTAAAAAGGTCTACCGGAAAACAACTCTAGCGGTATGTTCACATTTGTATCGTCAAATTTCATAAGAGATCATGTGATCCATTTTGAAAATCACCACACGAAACTATCCAAGTCATCTAAAGCGTCTTGATGAATAGCGTCAGAAAAGGAACGCGATCCAATCGTCAAATTGGTTGTGGCGTGTTGCTCCTCTGAATTTCATATCACAGCCATTTTTGACGATTTGGATCGCCGTTTTATGCATCGCCCTCCGTTTACATCGTGCGGAAATGTGAAAGAATGTATGTAAGAATCATCGTACGATGCTTTGAAGATATTCTCGGTTACAGAAGAAAGCGTGCTCGCGTTGCTCACAAAGTGGTTGTAATATGCTGATGTAATGATGCTCATATCACAGCCAGCTTTGATGAGCGTTGCGACACTCACAATTCGACGAATTAGGAATGTGCGAAAGAAATTCACGAAAAAGTTTTTTTTTATAATATATTTTAACATTTAAGAACTAAGTTTGGAATATTGGAATAGGGAGAAAACGTTACAAATAGCGAATAAGTATAAATGAAAGTTCTTATCAATATTGTAAAAAGATATGTTTTTACATAATTATAAAAAAACATAATTTTTTTACAGTAAGGTAATTTTATATTATATATATGTTCACACACATATAAATTTATATTACAGTATCCCCGTATGTTTTTCAAAATGGAAAAGAAAACGATTAATTTTTCACAAATATATTTGATTAAATATCTTTCTCGTGCAGTTTAATTATTTAAATGCGATTATGCAATTTGTAACAATAATTGAATAAACATATCTGTATGTAATCGAAATATGTTTATTTTGTATGCAATAGTTGTATATCTTATATACAATAAACGTTAATCTATTAACTAATGCACATTTCAGGAAGGGCTACTAAATAAAATCGACTGTTCCTCCCATCAGAGTGGTTGTGATGTGGTGTTATTGATTCATATCACAGCCAGCTTTGATGAGCGGAACGGAACGATGTATCTCACCTGTTTCTCTTAATATTTTATAAATATTATTTATTATATACCTGTAAAAATATTGTTTTTATTGTAAAAATATCGTATTTATTGCATGTAATTATATACTTAAGTGCACATGTTTACATATACTTGTTTAGCTATTTAAGAGAACTTCAATTTGCGTAGTCAGAAATAATTTTAAGAAGCGATTAAAATTAAAACATAAGTTTATTTGCGATAATATATATGTATTTAACGTTAAATATCTCGTAATGCTTATTTATTTTTCCCAATATTCCATATTTTATATTGATTCGCAGCTCATGTGTAGATTGGCACCGCTGATTGGTAGCGAACTTACAGAAAAGGTCTTTCTGCCACGATACTTAGACCTATGTGAGGATAAAGATATGATGGTGAGAAGAATCTGCGCTACTCACTTTGGGGAAATGTGCACTGCTGTGGGAAAGGAGAAACTGTACAGCAAATTGGTAAGTCTTATTCGTGAATGTAAAAATGGAATACTAAAGAGTTAATGAATATATTTTGATCTAATATAAATGGTACTGTCTTTTACTGATATATTCGAATTGTCTCTAGATTCCTATGTTTATTGATCTATGCGGTGACAGAATATGGAATGTGAGAAAAGCGTGTGTCGACGTCATGATGCCGGTCTCTTGTTGTTTAACGCCTGAGCATCGGCGATTGTTACTTGCGGATATACTAGTTAAGCACTTAAACGATGACTCCAAATGGGTACAAATATCGGCTTTTCAGATACTCGGACCGTTTATATCAACTTTCGCCGAGCAGTTCGTCGAAGTTACTTACAATAAGGATGGTGAATTAATGTATATCAGTAAGCAAGATAATCATCCCAGGTACATACACACAACGGCGTACTTTTCTATTGTCATTGCAATTTAAATTCATGTTAATCTAACTTGAATGCATATTTGTGCAGTATATGTTACTCATACGAAGGAATCTTTCCTATGAAGAGCGTGCTCAAAAATCAATTAGATATGGAGCAAGATATGCTAGCGAATACCAAATACAGATATAATACTAAAAGTCCATTTTATCTGCCTGTGATGAATGTGAAACATGAGGACGTTAAAGTATCCGAAGAAGATGATTCCGTGAAAGAAGATGATGATTACCAAAACACAGAACTTGACCACCCAAAAGTATGTAAGAATAGAACAATATATATTATAACATTATATATATATATATGTATAACATTTATTAAAATTTTTTTTATATGAAAACTACAATAGACGTTATACTTTTTATTTCAAATTTTTTTCTAGTTCTAGAAATTACGAAAGATTTTAAACATAAATGTTATTTAAAATAAATATTTTGTTGTAATTTCATATCTCAAAAAAAACTCTTGTAAACTTATATTATGAATTTATTATGTATGTTATTTAAAATTACTTAGATATAAAATGATATTTCTATTATTTGATTTTCAGTCTTGGTGTGAAAAAGTTCTTCAAAATGAAAAGAGAGAAACGCGTGAAGCGGAGAAATACAATCCATTTTTATATTATTATATACCTCCAGATATACCGCTAGATGATGAACTTACTCATGCCGCAAGGCAATCAGCGATGAATCGTAATAATGTCCCAAAGGCAGCAGAAACTGAACAAAATCCCATCGAAGAAAATAGTTCGTCTTGCTCTTCCGAAAGTCCAATTCTTGTTTTAAATTCGAATAAAGATGATTCAAATATAAACGAGCAATTAAACGATGATTCAGATGTAAACATTTATAAAATGGTCAAATTTTCTTCCGAAAGTGCAGTTCCTTTTGTGGATTTGAATACAGATGATTCCAATATAAATGAGCAATCAAACGATGATATAAACATCTGTAAAATGATAAAATTCTCTTCTGAGAGAATTCCAAATCCTGTTATGATTTCGAATATAGATGATTCAAATATAAACGAACAATCAAACGATGATGATTCAAATATAAATGAGCAATCAAACGATGATGATTCAAATGTAAACGTCTCTGAAATGATCAAATTCTTCAATAAACAAAAAGAAAAGCAAGATGACGATAAACAAACCGAAAAGCAAGATGACCATTTTCCAAATATAGTGTTTGATTCCGATTTGATGGACTCGTCGGAAAAGTGCTCCCGTCGATGTCGAAGATCTTTTCTAAAAACTCCACGAGAAAGGTTAGAGGAGTCTGTCCTCTTACTGTCCTCTTACCTCCCTGTTCCAGAGAAAAAATTTTATATATATGACGAAGACTCCATGGGCAAGAGCGATGAATCTTGTAAAAATTTAAATACGAAATATAATAAACAAGAGATCGTACCTCAAGAATTAATCAATTATTATGTATCAATGGCAGATCCGATTCAATGCGTGTACATGAATGCCGAGATTCCACATTATTGTGCCTTTAGCTTTCCTGCAGTCGTGCTCACACTGGGCAAAGAGAACTGGCATTACTTGAAGAAGGCTTACCAGTCGTTATCGAGCGCGAAACACTGGAGAGTCAGACGTACTCTAGCATCTAGCATTCACGAGATTGCCATGATTTTAGGCGAAGAACTCACTGCTTCTGACCTCGTGCCAATTTACGACGGTTTTATTAAAGATCTAGACGAAGTCAGAATAGGTGTGCTCAAGCACTTTGCGACTTTTCTGAAAATACTCAAACCCGTCGATCGCTGTCAATATCTATCAAGACTGAGCGATTTTCTTGCCACAGATAACGAATGGAACTGGAGGTTTAGGGAGGAACTGGCTACACAATTGCTCGAAATTGTAAGTCTATTCAGTCCGAGTGATGTGGCCCAGAGTATCGCACCATTGTCTTTCCAATTGCTTGTAGATAAGGTTGCTGCTGTTAGAACCATCGCGCTTGAAGTGGTAAGATAATTGAACCCTATCGCATATACATTGTAGTTCATGATTATTCCATCTATAAACTTGAATTTAAATTCCTTCAGATCACACGAATAATGTGCTACTTATCCAACGAGAATGCTTTGGTAACGTCTCTTATTCATGAACTTCGAGGGACTTTAGTTTTAGACGCTAAAAAGTGGATACATCGGCAAACTTATGCACTTGTATGTGCCCACCTGATTCGCAACAACGCGATTCCGGACGAGAAGTTTTCTAAGGAAATGTTACCATGTTTGATCAGTTTATCGCATGATAGAGTACCTAATGTAAGATTAGCCGTTGCGAGAACTATAGCAACAGACGTGATTACGATGGGTGGTAAGTATTATTAAGGTAACATATTATCATCATAATATATACCGTGCTGATTTGGTCGTTGCATCTTATTTCATATATTTTTATTTTCAGTAGATAATTTGGGCATAGACGCAATGGAAGAAGTGGAAAGAACACTTACGAAAATGCGCGTTGATGTGGACCGAGATGTACGAGTGTTAGCTGGAGGTGATGAGCAGCAAATAGACATACTAGCTTATTGTTCCTCTGACGAGAATAACCAAGTTGAACAAGCAAGAAATATACTATTTTAATAGTGATGTATTCTGATCTCATGGATCACGAAATCACTGTGGTTTTATATACGAGGATTATATAAGAGGAAAATGAACTTCTCATATATACAATACGATATCACAAGATGCGCCTTGGTTCTTCTTCCACACAAATGACTTCTTATAAATGATAAGTCAAAAGTGTGCAACTAGCTGTGAACATCAAACTTTGACTGCAATTTGACATACATATATCAGATCAAATAATTGCAATTGCAGATTAAAGTTCTATATTATCAGACAAGCACAAATTTCGTTTGCTGATTGATTGATAGCGGCCAATCAAAACCGAAAATCAAGTTATTTACGGATATGGTACTTGATCCGCGTATCAAGTGCTTGGTGTAAACTAAGGCCCGTATTCAGAATGCGCTTACAACAATGTTTTAACGTACTCTTAATATGCTATAGTTTACATTATAATAGAATTTTATTATAATGTAGCATATTATAGAATTTTAGAGATAAAAGCGCGCTTTTATCAATAAAAACGCGTTCTAAATACAAACCTAAACCATAGAAGAATTAACACAAGGCTGCGGGTCCGATATTCTCAATTTTGATTAATAATCGTTATCAGCCAATCAGCAAGCAAAATCCATTTCTCTGATAATGTAGGACTCAATTGCAAGATAGGTCGACGATGTTAAAACAACGCTCAAAGTTATCGAATATAACATTCACAATTTAAGTAGTCGAATGATAGGTTAAATTGCAATTTATGCATTGATGACTGATTTGCATCCTTTTAATCTAGGACAAAATTGTGAATGCCAATGCGCACGGTATGCGACTATCGATACTGATTACGTAACGATGCAGAAGTGAAAAACATTTGTATGTATGCGTGAATACGTGCACGCAAAGAATAGGTGCGTTTCATCAATGTGATCAATTTGTATATGTAACGCTATGCGTTCTCCTGAATAAGTCAAATATTAAATAATTGAAGGCGTTACATTAGCATATTGTCTTTCTCATTCGCTTAATTCATTTCACGATTGTTCGATTATACAACTTTCGGGACAATATCGTGTATCGTTATTTTGTAGCATTTTTTATTATGCACTTAGTCAAGAGTGAGACGCAGCATATATATAACATCAAATTAAATATGGCGCATTTTGTTTAAATCAGCATTTACGAATGTGCCATGCACGAGAATATTTTGCAGATTGTCAATAAATGTGTCTGATAATTGACATATCTAAAAACATGTTCGATGAAAGAAAAATAGATACTAATTATATCTGCACGCTGTAAATCTTAATCTTCATCGATAATTGTTATTAATTATTAAAAGTCCATTTTACCTTGCATTTAAAAGCAATCTTGTCCATCAAAATGTCCAGAAAAAATAAAAAATGTTAAATTGTTAATGGTTGAAAACTTATACTGTGACGACGTAATATTTCAATTGTAATAATATTTATCGCATAAACATGTTATACAATATTTGCTTTGAATATTTTTTGACAAATTGTTTATAGAGAGTGTATCATCTAGCGTATTAATATTTAGATGAATTGTACGTTTCTCTCTTTTTCACGCAATATACTTCGATTCTTGCGTTATGCCTAAATTAATAGAATAAAAATGTTAAATGGTCGATTGAATTTTATTAATATTTTTTAAGTCAGCATCACAGAAAACGGACGTAAGCAAAAATTGTAGAAAACTTTATAAATATTGTATGATATCAGATTTCATAACATAAAAATGTACGAATTGCTGATAGAGCAAAATCCTGCGCCATTTAATTAAGAAAAGAAAGCAGAAAACGTTGTATAGATTCGTATCTATTTGCACGGAAAGTATACGCTCGTTAACATTTTGTAACACGATTATTAGCAAAGGGCGGACAATCGCGAATCTTATGTGATTTAGTGACATTAAATACGTTAATTGAGCTACTACAAATTTACTCTTTAAGCAATGAACGCCCTCGTTATTTGTGAATAGTGAAGGTGAAGGAGATATTGTTTAAAATGCTGTATAATATATTATGTATTTGATAACGAAACTATGAAAAATATACATCAAACGATTTGTTATGCAATTATACAAAATACAAACCGTGTTGTACATGGATAATTATTAAGCAAGGAAGGTTCACGAGGCTGTAACAAATTTTATTCATTAAATTTTATACAGCGATAACGTTTGTAATTTGCGAATTTCCAGAATTTCATCGTTTAAATGATTTTTCGGGATAAATTGTCACCGATTATTAATTGCATTTTTGTAACTTTGAAAGTTCCTATGTAATGTTAAACATAAGCACATGATCCGAAATAATAAAAAAATCTTTGTACGAAAACTGTTACACAGAAAAAAATCAATAGAATAAAATGGATTTTAAAGAATTTCATACTTCGCGAACATTCCTTATCGAGAAGCAATTCGAGATCCTTGTTCATGACACGCAGATACATGTGAACAAACAATTTTATACATTTTAAAAAACCGGAAGATTATAGTACCACATAAAATCACATTGCTGTTTTACATAACATTTCTTTAATAATTATGGTACAGAGAACATCGCTGATACACTGCAAAATATCGATCGCCAATCATCGTCTACCGAAGGAAGAATCTTTCAAAATATTCCAAGGAACTTACCCGGAGGACAGGCCGGCAATTGGCACGCTTTCTCTTCCATCTCGGTTTCCGCGTCATTACAGTCGTGCAAGCAATGCCGCCACCTGATCTGTCGACCCTTGCCGCAGGTGACGCTACAGCTGCTCCAATCCATCCACCTGCCCCACTTGCGACGTGATCTCCTCGTTTGATACTCTCCTCGCGCGAATCTCAAACCGTTAGAATGCATTCGAGATGACCTTTTACCTGCTAAAATCGCTTCCTTTGCGAAGCGCTGGCGATTGTCAGTGTTCTCGACAATCTTGGATATAGACCTCAAAATGTTTTTCTTCTTCAAAGTGGCCTTCGGTTCCTCGATAATCAGGCGTTCTGCATTTTTACAGGAATTTCCTTCACATAGAGTTTCATTACGATTATTCACATATACTTGCAGTTCGTTTATCTGAAAACGAAGGATTTCTACACTAAACTGTGATATAATCTGTAAGGAAAATTCCTGATGAAAATATTTCTTACTTTGGCGATTAACTTTTCGGCAAGATCCTTCATTTCTTCGATTGATCTCACAGCAGGATTACCTCGATTTTTTCTGTGCCTTGTCTTCTTACTCTTCGTGTCTCCGATTCCTTGTTCGGCGTCTTTGAAATGTGTCGATTCCTTCAAATTCTCATCATTTTTTAAATATTTAGACATAACTTGCTGATTTCTCTTCGCTCGCAACTTTGTTTCCTCGCCCGATAGTTCTACAGACATCTCGTTCGTGCGATCGTACTTTTCTTTTTCTCTATTTTGGTTGTTCTCGATTCTCAGCATGTTGGATTCATCCGAATGAGCTTCCGCCTCGGCTTCCCCATTATAGAATGACACATTTTCAGAATCGCTTGTTTTCTGGCCAAACACGTTTCCGAGATCTTGCTTTTTCAGTGTAATCTCCAATATTACATTATTAGCTTCCTTTTTTTCAGCGGAGTCGAAATTTGGGGCAACATTTGTGACGTTAACATCGTGAATTTCATCGCTCGTATTATATTTCGGTAACATAATCGAGCAAGGACTAGTCTCGACAGAATGATCCGTCCAATGATTAGGACTAATAAACGAAGGCTTATCCGTAGAAATCTTTTCGATACGAACGTGCAATTCCGCTTTTCCGGTGTGCACGAAAGGTAACAATACAGCGTTCTGTTCTACCAAACTTCTATTATTTATTAATGACGCATCTTCTTTCCGATCAATTAAGACTTCCGCTTGCTCGTTAGCACTGTCAATATCATCGATGAAATAGTTATTTCCGGATTCCCTTTTCTCTATCCGCGACTCATCGATTGTTTTGGCAGACATTCCGATTTTTTGAGTATTATTTCTTTTGCCTACAAATAAATGAGATAAATAGAAAATAATTCATATTGAGAAACTAAAAATTCAGATTTACACTTTTGGGAAGTATTTAATATCGTATGCTGTACATTAAAAGTAGATCTTTATTTTAAATACTGCGCGCATAAAAAAAAATATTAAAACTTTTTTTTTTTCAAAATATTACTATTGGGGCTTCAACTTGAAGGTTGAAGGAAGTTACTTGAATTTTTTCAGATTTTTTGAAGCGTTTTTATTGTCCCAAATAACGCTCGGACGCGAACGACCCTGGAGTCGGAATTAAAGGTGCCGAAAAGGACGGTCGGAACTAAGGGTTAATATATTTAACAATTTTTAATATATTTAACTTTAATTATATATACTAAATTTTTTCAATATATAGATACAATTTGAAATATATTTAAAATTTTGTAATTATAAAAATATTATATAACGTTCGTTTATATATATATATCTAAAAATATAATTTATTTTAAATATATTTTCTAGATCAAGAATAAAGAATTCAGATAAGAGCAATTTTTCTCTTAATTTTGAGTGTTTTATTCTGAGTTTTATTTAATTTGTAAAAATATTCCTCGTAACATACGTTAAGAATTAAATGACCATATTTAAATGAATATTATATATTTAAAACGAAAGATTAACGAGAACATACTTGACTTTGGACTTTTCGTTTTTTTCGTGACGAGCTGATGCGAAGACTTCAAAGTGTGCTTCTTATTTTTATTTTTCGTCTGAACGTTGTGTTTAGAATGCCCAATGTTTCCCTTCATGCGTTTCCTGCGATGTCCGTTTTCCGACAGAACTCCTCGTTTGTGTCGTGATTGTGAAATCATGGTGTCCACGATGGTATCAGATTGATTTTCATAATCTGAGCTTGATTTTAACGTCGAGTCACTAAATATGCTTGTCTCATCGGTTCTATAATGGAAATTTTGTGGAAGCGAATTCCCGGAACTCGATTGACGATAAACGATCGGCTCATTTCTTTTAACGCGTATATGGCTCGCGAGATTCTGATCGTTCATATCATTGAAATCCTCTGTAATAATTGGACCGTTAAAATCCATCAAAGTTCTTGTATTTATGCTGGCGTTTTTGTACTCTTCAAGATTTGTAGCTCTTGCTGCTCGAAATCGCAAGGTTTCGTTCGGGAATCCTGATCCGACAATTTTGAGCGATTTATTTCCACGAAATGGTCTTTGCTTCCAAAAACTTTCGGAGGAGTCATGCGCTAGTTTGTCCTTTCGAGGATCTACAAAGTAAACGTTTTTTTCTGAAAAAGAATGCAGATGATTGAGCGTCAATTTGATTGAGCTTATATATATATATATAGATAGATAGATAGATAGATAGATAGATAGATATGAGCTACTCAGAAGCTAAATCTCTTAAAATTGATTTAAACTAAAATTTATGAAGTAGAAAATAAAGAAAGTCGATAAAATCATAAATTTATGATCGTTTGTTCTAATTCTGAAATTCAGAAATTTATAAAGAATGAGATCGATCAGTTTGACATCTAAAAAGCTATTTATTATTCGTTTCAATAAGTGTTATACATTTGTCGCCTTTGCAAACTTTTGCAAAAGCATTCGAAAGGAAAGATAAAAAAGTTAGACAAACTATGACAGATATCTACTTGGATATGTTTTATTTTCGGTTACGGCGAGGCAAAAGAGGAGCGTCAATATCCAAACAATCGAGTGGATTGCCAGTCTCGGCATAACACGATGCGTTGGGGAGGAACCGATAAACAGAATGAGTAATCATGAGCGTTTTCCAAATTGATTAGAGACGTTAAATTGAGTGAAACGGACATGCCTCCCTTTGTTACAACTCGATTTCATCCAATTATCGGTGAGAAAACAGAAACGAGATAACATGGCCCGAATTTACAATCATATCTACATTCAAGTCGTATATCTAAAAGAATTATTGATTATTCATTAATCTTTTATTATTTGTATTTTTCATTATTTATCATTAAATGGACTATGCAGTTATCATAAATTTATGTTTAGAATAAAAATGAAAAAGATTTCCGTTTTAAGTGTTATTCACTTCTGTATATTTTTAAGAAGCATCAGTCGGAAATATTTATGCTGTTTATCAAGAGGATGTTTAATTACATTCAAAATAGTTGCTCCCGCTAAATTAAAAAATTCATTCAATTAATATAAAAAATGCAGAACTTTTTATTTTTTCGTAGAACTGTAAATCATGAAAAGTGCTGGAGTGCTTGTGGTTGTTCTCCTTATAACATAGAATAATGCTAACTTCAAAAATCCTGATATCGATCTCTGTGAAGTGTGCACGACATTGTATGTTACTTTAAATTTGCACGACATTGTATCATTTTAAATCCGTTTGCCTACATACTCGCTGATTACACACACCAATAATTCATATCAGTTGAGGTCTGTGAACTGATAAAATTAATCAAGTTTGAGCCGTAGATGCTCAAAGACGCTTCAAATATTTATTCGACCAATAAAATGGCCGCATAATTTTATGACTAAATAATCTAGTAATCTCGAACGCTACCATAAAGTTCTAGTAGAGAGAAGCCTAAGAGCGGCCATGCCCGGGATTTAGCTGTTACTTTATTTTGAAAAGCCTCTATGTCCACAAAACGTGGACATTGAACTATGTAGCCAATGTCCACGATTTTTGGTTCAAATCTTCCCAATGTCCATGATTTAAAAAAAAATGGCTCTGAGGTACCAAAATTGGAACTAAAAGGGTCAAGTGACCAGTAGTGGGGATATTCATTAATCAACATTATTTAAATTTCCATTATTTAAGATAGAGAAATATACCGTTTCTCAATCTAAAATAATGCAATATTAAATAATGTTAATAACATTAGTTAACACAATGATCAGAAACTCTCTTAACACAATTTATATTTTGATTAATATAAAGGAGTTGTCTAATATTATAAAAAATTCTTTTATTTTTATTAATATTTATATAATAAATATATATGTTTTATACATTTTTCAAACATTACTATAAAAGTTACAACTTTTAAGTTAGTTTTCGTTAATTTAATTTTATTTTCATTTTTTACTAAAAATATAATACAACACATTTTCCCGTCCCACTTTACAGACTGCGGACTGTCGGATATACAAATATTGAATATCCGGTGTGGTTAAAAAATGTGATGCATACCATTTTCATGATCCACAGCATCATACACACAACCAATCGCACTGAACAATATATTACAATTTTTACAATATGCATTAATAATATGTATATAAATGTATACGGATACAATATACAACATAAATCTATACATGTATAAAAAATTGAACAAAATACAATATGCGGTACGTATATCATTATAAAATATAAATATATACACAATTAAAATATTTTCGAAAAGAGGTTATTTGAAAAGCAAAACGAGAGACGAACAATTGCAGAAAAATACTAATAAAACAAGGTGGGAAGGACCAATTAAAAACACCATTACCAAAAGAACTGTAATACACCTTTTGGATTTCTATTATTTGGTCGCCTCTTCCACTTCCGAGATTCATCAAAAAACTACTACTGATACAACTTGAACAATCTTCGATTTTCCACCTACGATACATTCCACGTAGCGCATACCTATCTTCGAAAAAATCGTCTTAATGTTCCAGCAATCATATTATGTCCCAATTGCAGATTCTCCATATGGTACGTGTAATAGACGGTACAGATTGAGCCAAGTAGCGATTGCATACGAACGACGCGACGGATACGAGACCAATAGTAAAATCGTTGTAACAGCCGGATCCTCGACTCTCGTTTAACACACGACTCTAACGTCGACGAGGCCTTTGTAACCACGATACTCTGCGAAACACTCAAAGAGTGAGCCATTAGGCCTACAGGTAGACGCGACGCGAGGCACTCCACTTTCTGGGGCGGTAATGCCCGCATCCCTCGTATCTTAGTCGTGGTTACTCCCGGCTTATCGGCCAGTTAGACGCTGGTTTTACGAGATAAACTCGACAAACCGTTCAACGAGACGAGAATTGAGCACGTATTGCAACGATTTCGTTAC